CCATGCCTCTGCACACACCTCCCCCACACACACCCACCATGCTCTGCACCACACCTCACCCCCAACCCACACACCCCCCACCATGCTCTGCACACACCTCACCCCCCACCCACCCCCCCCCCCATGCTCTGCACACACCTCACCTGTCACACCCCCACCCACACCCTGCCTGCACACCCACCCACCATGCTCTGCACACACCCCTCACACACCCACCTGTCACCCACCCCCACCATGCTCTGCACACACCTCACCTGTCCTCTCACACAAACACACACACACCTGTCACATAGACACACACCACTTTGCACACACCTCACCTGGCACACACAATGCTCTGCACACACCTCACCTGTGTCACACACAACACTATATGCTCCTCACCTGTCGCACATTGTACCTACATCACGTAGATCTAATTGGCATGGAAGGAAATCTGTGGCATACTCCATATCTGCAGACAGCACACAACTGGCCTCCTAAGCATGACTCCCTTACCACTGCACTGTCCAGCACAGCTTGTCATCCAGTGCACACAGTATATACTGAATGGGCAGGGTGCTTGTCACAGCACAAGTTTGTGTTTTTGCATAACATTTAATCGGTCATGTTGGTGTATGTAGAACACATTCCTGTCACATTCCATGTTCCTCATACTTGTCACACATACAATCACACCCATCCTTGTCCAGTGCTCCTTCCTGCACTGCAGATCACCTGTCATGATGTACTTTATACAGCAAAACGTACAGCCATTTCTGTTGCCTGAGGTGCTCTCTGTCCCTGTAACCCATCCACATCCAGCATAACACCTGACACACACTGGACCAACAGGCTGCATTTTCTCCTGAAGTAGTTAAGGTGTATGTATGGCTCTTTAGTTATCGATGAGCAAAACATGTACTGGATTCTACCTGCCCAGTTTGTTTTTACTGTCTGTATAATTGGGGAAATTTGCCTTCACTTGTCCCAAAGATGCTATAAGAACATGGGTGACATCTCCAATAGTGAGGGGAATTCCTCTCCTAGACAGGTGCCCCCAGTGGAAGATTTCAACCTCTCCTCTTGTTCTAAGATGTTGGATTTCTTCTCCCTTTTTCTGTGATAATGGTGAACAGTTCAAATAAAAGGTGACATTTCTCCAGTAGAAGTAACAGACAGCAATAAAAGCTTCCCTGATTGACTATAGGTTTTGCCTGGAGTTACGCTCTCATACACACTGACACACCGGTCGCACTAAGTGCGAATTGGCATGCAATTTTCATTCTCATGAAGTCGCACCGATTTCTAAAGTAGCACATGTACTACTTTTCCTGCGATTTGCATAGACATCTGTGTTAGATGTCTTGCAAATCACACCTGAAATCGGCATGTCACCCGACTTTGAAATCGTGCGACTTCACTGTCGGGCTTGATGTGACTGGGGTGTTAGGGAATTATTTATAAAGCTGTCAATACAACATTCACTGCAGGTGAGTCTTCCATTTGCATGTGTTTTAAATGACAGTGACTGATTCACCAGCAGAGAATCTTTGTTGATAGTCACATTCACGACTTTATTTGTCTGCCCCTTGTTGCCCTATCTGCTACATGTGCTTCTTTGGCTCAGTTTGAATGCTAAAGAAATAATATTTACAAGTGTGTTTCAGATGCTATTTGTTTGCTTCATTGGTGTCCTTGTTTTTGTGGATTATTGGATAAAGAGTATACATCTCTGTGTACACAATTCTTTCCTCTGTGTGTGATGAAGAATACTTCTGTCATTTCCGGATGCGATCTAAGAAGACAGGTGGTGACTTTTGTGTCAGATTTGTGCTGACTTCATCCTTGTTTAGTGATCACTGACACTTCAGCAGGATGCTGACATAACGGCTGATTCTTTGACCAAACACCTTGGTCATTTGTTAACACAGGTCCTTTTGACCCCTGTGCGTATGCGGGCCAACTCTATCCCACTCAACAGTCTCTCCATTGTACTAGAACAGACTATTCTGTTAGCTTTCAACACTGATCTCCTTGTACTAAGATTAGGCCTCCAAGACCCCCCCCCTGTTTCTGCAACAGTCTTGTGTTTCCAGGATCCTTCTATGTGCCACTATTACATGCCTTTATATTATCTGAATCATTTGATACAAGTGGCCTAATTGTAGAAATGATATCCTGCTCTATGCATTGATTCTTCTAGTTTCCGTCAATAAACTTTCACAGAAGAGCAGTTTGCAGTGAGCTTTTAAAACTTATCTAAACCCAGAGACAAAAAATATAGTCTATTGCAGTTTACCAATCCTTGTATGTGGTGGCTGCATTAGTTTTCTATTTTAAGCTTTATTTCCTCTATTTTTTACCTGGTGAACTATTAACACACTTCCTCTTTTAAGGTGGCTACACTCCTTTACTGTATCTATCAAGAAGTAATGGCAACAACATCATCAACCTTTGTAGAGGGTAGTGTTAGATGGGCGATTCTACCCTTAGGGAAAAACTCAAACAGCAAGATTGCCAAGAGGCTGCCCATCTATCCCTGTAGAAAATGAGGGAGTGTGAATGTCGCTGAAGATTCAGCAGCGCTGGGGCCAATATGTTGCTGCCTCAGCTGCAGAGGGAGTGAATCCATAGGGACAGACAGAGCCTCTTTAGCAATTCTGCTGCTGGCAGCTTGTTGCTAGTGGTAGAATCCTCCATTTGATGTCAGCCTTAGATGGATTTTATCTAAATGACTACCTAATTACAGTCTAACTCGAGCTAACACTAGGCAGTTATAGAAACTTTTTTTTTTTTTCTTGTTGGGATTAAGGTTGGAACTAAATAACTGAAAACGTTCCATTGTAAGCACCCCTGTCAGTGTTAAAGTGGAACTAACTCTAGGTTCACATCTGTGCGGGTGATGCCACTGCGGATCTGCACAAAAATCCGTGCAGCCGCACCAACCGCACAGAGAAATGCGGAGCAGCGGGCAACTGCCATTAGTTCAAATGGCACGCCACCAGCACTGGAAAACGTGACCGTACTGGGACCGAGGTTCCAGTGCGGGCTGCATTTTCCAGAAAAGTGCTGGGACTTCTTTCCTGCGTGGCACGGGAGTCCATTCAAATGAATGGGCTCTCGTGCCCGTGCAAAACTCAGCCCGCATGGCCGCATATATGTCAACCAGGGGTAAAGCCTGCAAATACTCCCCTCTTCTCCAATAAACTAACGTCTGTGAAGTCCCTTGTTGGGGCTGGCATCTTTTCCCCAACTTCTCCTGGATGGCCAAGTCTGTGGCTATCTTGATTGCCTGCTGTGGGGTGATGCAACTCCAGCACATGAGCACTGGGGTTCATTCATCCTGGTACAGCCACCGTGCTGAGAAAGTACCCTGAGCTGCACAAATATAGAAGACTGCCAACAGGCAGGTAACTTTATTTCATTGCAGAAAAGACAATACAACGAAGATCCTGCCTGTTTGCATATGCATATTTTGTTTTGCCCCACTGTTAAATTTTGGCTCAGCCCTCTAACTGCCACTTTGTCTGAACAGCTTGTTTTTTTTAAAGTGGTTCTAAAGGCAGAAGGTTTTTTACCTTCTTGCATTGTATGCATGTAGTGTGTGCTCCCCCCCCCCCCCCTCCATACTTACCTGAGCCCGATCCAGCGATGTGCACAAAAGTAGAAGCTCTCCTAGATCTCTAATTTGTCATTGGCTGAGACACAGCAGCAGGAGCCATTGGCAATCACAGGAGGGAGTGGGGAGTGGTGCTGAACTACGATGTGTGTGTCTCAACACAGAGACAGCTCGGGAGCGAGCACACATGAGTGCGTATTCGGGAAGGGGGGCCAGGAGAAGAGTATTGGTGCTACTCTGTGAAACCATTGTAACCAAAATAAGACTTACCAGATCACCAGGTGGAAAAAAACATAAAAAATGATTTTATTTCCAATTTGGGTATTAAATATATTTTATATATGCTTTAGCTTTGCATCATCCAATGCTGCATTTTATGCACATGTAACCCTGTTTTGATGACATAAATGTTGGCTACTTTGGTTTCGCTAGCTTGATGTATTTTTTATATCTTGTAGATTTTATCGGTTTTTATACTACATTTTGATAGCATCACTTGTCATATATTTACTAGCATGTGTTTAAAAATATTGCCTTACTCAGTAAACCTGGCCGCAGAGTGATAATCTTCGTGGATTTTATCATCCATGTTTAACACAGACTTTGTTGGTGGCAGTTTATTAGATTTCTGCTTAATTATTCATAGCCTATTTTCGAGAAGGCTTTTGATGCTATCAAAAAATAAGTAAATGAGTAAACAAAGAATATTCTACCTCTTTCTAACAAGTGTGTATATTTACGGGAAATGTGAAATAATGAGCTGTATAAATGATTAGCTTCTACTGTGATCTTGTTGGAAAGCATTTAAAAGAGTTTGAATTTCTTTGATTAAAAGTTATTGATGGTATTTGATCACCTAGTGTGCAGGTTATGTACTAACAAGATTTTAATTTAGAATGATTCAAACATTATAATTGGGTTATTTTACACAGAATTTGCAGTGTGTAGACAATTTGTTTAATAGGTCTGATGACCGTTTTCTGCTTGTCTTTTCATGAAGGTTCTATTATTTGCCTTTTGCTATGAAGAGTGAAGTTTTAGATATAATTTGAGTGAGGTGAGGGGCGCATTTTGTATGTTCATTTGTTTTCATACATCTGTGAAGTCTGGTGGGGGATACTAGATTTTGTAGGTTTCCTCATACAGAACCTGATTGTTGCAGTTGTTGTTGTTGGATGAAAATCAGAACCTTACTATACAGTTATTCCCTGTAAAGGGTATCTTTTGCTCTCATTCATATGGAGCAATGCATGCTTTTGCCATGTGTTAATGCCTGCATTTAAATGTATTTTTGTGTAGGTTTTTTTTGCACAGTTAGAGGTTTTTTCCTTTTGGTTGTATTTGCTTTTTTTTTTTTTAACCTCCGTGGCGGTACTCCTGAGTGTAGCTCGGGGTAAAGTTTCAGTACCAAAAGCAGTAACCCCGAGCTACACTCTGGCTTACCATGCGGCGTTGCTCAGGGATTCCCTGCAGCACTTACCTTGTCCTTCGCTCCCGCGATACGTCCCCTGCAGCGTCCCCGGCCATCTCCTCTGGCCGATGCCGACATCCGGCTTCCGTGTTCCGGTCCCTGCGAGCGTCAGGACGTACGGGACATACGGGGGCCGGAACCGGCGGCAAATGTAAAAATTTTTAGAAACTGTCATTTTCTAATAAATGAATTTGACATAGTAAAACATTACTGTATCAAACCATTTTACATACATTTTGTCCCGAGTGCTTTGTCCTGTGCCCTGCCTGCATTTTGACTGGTCTTTCTGCTGGAAACTGAGAAACGTCCATGGCGTCCAAAAAGCGTCCCTTTAGGTCAAAATCGGTTTTAGTCCAGCTAGAGAACAGCAATAGTAAATTAGAACCACTAGCAGAATTGAGTGATAATGATTCGTGGGGAAATTCGTCATCAGACGCTAAAAACGATTTTGCGACTTTTCTCAGTGATGTGCGAACATGGCGCTATATTTCAAATTTCAGTGTTTTTGGTTTGATTATATTATTGAATTAAATTTATTATTATATTATTTTATGATTATTTATTAAATTATAATTTATGATTTTGTGTTTCAAGTTGTATCCTACCCGGGATGTTTACTAGACTCTTGTTCGGACAGATTTCAGTGAGTTATTCCTAAAAATTACAGGTCTACAATAAAAAAATGCATATTTCCATGCAAAAAAAGAACCGCTTTCAGCACAGAAATATGGACATAATCAGACCGCTAGGGAGGTTAAGTACACTTTTTGTTCATTCTTTGGTATAAGGGGGAAAATGACTAGAATGTGGAGTTATTGACAGTGTGTCAAAAATGTACAATACTGCATGATATATATAATTTTTTTGCATTTCCTATCATTTTAGTTGGCCGCCTAAATGTCCATTAATGCACACAAAGTGGTGTGTCCTAATTTTTTAAAATGTACCAACCTGCAGCACATACGTATGTGAACTAGCCACGTAAGAATGAATGATACCTACTTGAATTGCAGTTTTATGCAGTGAAATGCAAGAATAATTGCAGAAATCTTGGAATGGGTGAGCTGGCTCTTAATCATCAGGTCATTTTTGTGATGTCTTGTGGCTTACAATATGGACTGTCACAGTGCTGTCTGATCTCAGCCCACAGGTGAACTAATTAGAAAATCCTCCTTTTAGTCTAGGTTCACACCTATGCGTTTTGCGGAAACGCACAGCAGTCCATTTAAGATGGTTCACATCTCCGCATTTTCACCTGGTGTGTCTTTTGGAAAGGGTCTGGGACTTTTTTAAACGCAAAACGTTGCGTTTTTTTGGTTCTATAGACTTCAATGGAGATGCTGCAGAAAAGCATGTAGTGCGTTTTTGATGCCTTTTGTGTTTTAATCTGCCTAGCAACAAGTAAAAAAAAACACATCATAAACGCATGTACAAAAACGCAAAACACTGCAAAAACGGATCAAACGCAAACTGCATAGGTGTGAACCTAGCCTTAGCCCTGGTTCACACCAGATCCAACTTTGAAATCGTGTGACTTCACTTGGGGTTGCACAATTTCAAAGTGGCATGTCAGTGTGACTTGGAAGACATCTGTGTTACTTTGTGCACAGATGTCTATGCAAGTTGCACCTGAAATCGCGAAGTAGTGCCGGAACTACTTTCAAAATCAGTGCGACTCCAACAGAGTTGGATTCACACCAATTCGAAAGGTTGCATTGCGGACAATATGGTGCGACTTGTCATGCGATTTGAAACTCAAATAGTAAGACAAGTCACACCAATGTGAACCAGGGATTAAATGAAAGTCACGACCTGGGCAGAGCTCTCATTTACCACTAGGTTTAAAAAAATAAAATAAAGGCCCTTATAAAGTGCCATGGAAGGATGATCTGTGGACCCAGCTTTCATCCTTAAACATGTACTCTCCTGCCCAGCAGCATATACTTTCCTTGCCTTCATTTCCCCCGTTGTCCCATTTAGCACTATGAGGTACGCATGACAAAGTGACCTATTTCATGTGACAACGCTGGTGCTTGGGGATTGGCCCACAAGGGGGTGGATAGAGGCCACAGTCCCGTCTGTGCTCTAACTCTGTGCTTACTCAGGAATTTCTTCCTTCACTACTAATGGAGAAGTGGGGAGCAAATGTAAGGCTCCCTGCTGGGGAGAGGGACATGATTAAAGTCAACCTGTCCTGTTTTTTTCTTTGTTTTTTTTTTTCTTCTGCATGGATAAAGCATTGGTTCACTGTAAAATATTTTAAAATCTCTCCTTATATTTATTAATTTTTTTTTAAAAAAACAGTATATTTATTTTAAGCTTTATTTCCAGAACAAGAATAGATTCCAGTAGTACAAAACATAACATTTCAAAATTATATATAATGTCTTACAAACACGGCACTTTTGTAACAGGTTGATAAAAGGCTCGAGAAACACCCGAAGTAGTCTGTCAGCATTTTTGTTTTTTTTTTCGGAATGTGTCTTGAGAGAGTGTTGGGTACAGGTGCCCTGTAGAAATGAACAGAACTAGTGAAGAGCAAGAAAGGAAAGGCAGATATTGGGGAGGGGGTAGGGAGACGGGGAAAGGTGGTGAAGAGGAATATAATGAAGGACAAAGGTGCGGGGGGTTAAACTATTAGGAGGAGACCTCCATTGCTAAAATGAGAGCTTGTCAGAAGTGATCAGATTATAATGTTACATAGTAATATGCGCAGTTGTACTGAACTGCAGAATTATGCACAATGTAATTTTTTTTTTTTTTTAGACCACTTGCACACGAAAATATTCTATTTTTTTCAGCTCTGAATGCATCACTTTATTACAGATTTTTATTCCATCGTGTGCATTGTCCCATAGACAAAAAAGCACCTGTGAAATTAGCGTATGCACATCCGGATTAAAAGAAATACATTAAAGGTATAACATGCACCAACTTAAACGCACAAATTAATGCAAACAATGGACGGGTAAGTATTAATGATTCATCCGACCAAAACAAAGTGCATATAGTGATAGGGATGTTAGAGTCATTAGAAGTGCATCCGTGTATCAATCAAATTCGTGACTTCCGTGATAGGAGAATAGCTGCAAAACGCACTAACCAGATAGCGCAGGAAAAAGCGCATTGGAGTATAATGACCTACTCCCGGTCACAGCCCAAAGATCATCAGCGAAGGGACCTCAGGAACAACTTTGCATCAATCATGCCGTCTCCTACCACCAGGGGGGGGGGTACGCCTCCTTACAGTTACACGAATTTGCCTTATATCATCTTTCGCCAGGGGTGGTGTGCTTTCGTATCAGGAGATCACCTTAGGGACTCAGCAATAAGACCCAAAAGAGAGAAATCTTGATAGTGTAGTAATTTTTATTCAAAAGGTTGCTAAAGAACAAGTAGCACACTTACATAATGATATCCAGAAAAGCTGATTAACAGAATCCAAAAAGATGGCCTTTGATAATGTCTCTTGCCACGAAACGCGTTAGGGATAAGGATACCTCTCATACTACTTGTTACCCACATGGTCCATGCATCTGACTGTTGGCCATCTTTTTCCTGCGCTATCTGGTTAGTGCGTTTTGCAGCTATTCTCCTATCACGGAAGTCACGAATTTGATTGATACACGGATGCACTTCTAATGACTCTAACATCCCTATCACTATATGCACTTTGTTTTGGTCGGATGAATCATTAATACTTACCCGTCCATTGTTTGCATTAATTTGTGCGTTTAAGTTGGTGCATGTTATACCTTTAATGTATTTCTTTTAATCCGGATGTGCATACGCTAATTTCTTCTCACTACATGCTCAAGCGCTGCATTTTTGGTGTTTTTATTTGTCTATGAGGAGGTTATACGAGGTTTACCTTCATGCTAGCAGCTTGAATTTTTGAGACCAAGCGCTCGTCTTTTATCCCATTTTACAAAAAAGCACCTGTGTTCAAATCCAGAAAAATAATTGTAAATGATGCTACCTGGCTACAAACTCAGACTTAGGGCTCATCTACACTACAACCCTCACATTCACTGTGTTTCTGCGTGTGCATTTACATGCATTTGCAATGTGTCTTCCATGCGTTTACATGCATTTGTATTGCTTTTAGAAAAAAAAAAAAAAAAAATATATATATATATATATATATATATATGCATTCATGTATGTTTGCAGTGCAAAAAAAATGCAGCATGTTGTACTTTTTTTTTTTTTTCTTTTTTCTTTTTTTAATGCACACAAAAGCACTATAAAGGTGTAAACTAGATTCATTGAAAACATTTTTTTTTTTCTTTGCATATGCATTTTGTACTGCATGTAAAAACATCTGACTGCATCTGGTGTGTTGTACCTACAGTCATTTTTCTTCAACAGGCTTGAATGTGTAAAGGAGAACCTAGTGGGTATGGCTTCTGTCAGCTGAACTTGGTTACAGTTTTGTAACATTGTCTTAAAGAGCTACTTTTGTTATATACTTGGCTTATAACTTTGTATAGAAACCTTGTGACTTCTTGAATATTTTGTATTTACATTCTTATTTTGTGTTCTTTGTTTTATTCTATACTTGCATTTTAAAAGCTTGCAGAAAAGTATTCCACAAGTACCCTTTTTAGGCCTTAGCAAAAAAAAAACAAAACATTAAAAATCCATACCTATTGCAATATTCAGCTCTTAGGTACGCAGCCTGAACAAAATCTAAAGCTAGTAGATTATTGAGCAAACATTTATACAAAAATTGTCAGTATGTTTGATGGCTTAACAACGTTTCAAATGTGGCTCCAAAATCAAATGTAAAAAGCATCTGAAATTTTGAACAAATGGACTTTTGCAGAATGAAAACCACATACGCTGATATGTGTTCATTTGAGAGAAGATTTCCCATCCTGCTCCTTCAAATTTTCTTGTCACTCTGGTTGAAAATGAATGTTCATTTGACCCACTAATGACTACAAAGTTGAATGAATGTGAGTTTTAGAAGCATCATATAAGTGGCGTGCCAGTGAACAGTAGTTCACCACAGTTGTACAGTTATTAGCAACTAAACTCATTATATAATTAAAGTGATACTGAACACCGTAAAAACCTTTTATATGTTCAGTTTACTATTTGTTTGTATAGTTCATTTAGAAAAATTAAACTGCTAAGTACCTGTATGCCTTAACTGTATACAGTGGTCACATGATTTATATCTAATGCGGAGTGCTGGGAGAGATCATAGGAGCAGCCTCCTTTCTCCTCTGATGGATCTAGATTCATCAGAGGAGAAAGGAGGCTGCTCTCTCCCAGCGCTCTGCATTAGATATAAATCATAGAGGAAGCATGAACTGTGACCCTTGTGTCCAGACTGTGCGGATTGGTGCTGTCCAGGTCATATGACCCACCCTTCCCCCAGGAAAAAAAAAG